TTTTTTATTGAACTATTTTTTAAACATGATACCTCCATACAGAGTTCTCGAGATTATAAAGTGTGACGCACAGAAGGATCCTGCAGTATTTCCAGATGCTTTGCGAGCAAGAGCTTTAATCAGTCAGGTTTTATGTCACCACTGCTTGAGTTTATAGTTATGCTTGCATCAAAAATGATATCATATTAAGCCCCTGTTTGTTGTGCATTATTCCACCAAAACTAGAAAAAATTGGACCGTTATTGTACCTTCTAGCAGACCTTTTTTCTGACAAAGCTCTCACAGGTAGGTCCCACTTTGATTAGTAACGGTCACAATTATTCTATTAATGAGTTGAATAATGCCCAACAAACAAGGGGTAAATGTCTTGGCGATTGTTATCGGTCATAACATGGAGTTCCATCCACAATTTGATCCATTATGAACTCAAATATATTTCATCCAAGAGTGTTGATGACTATGTATTTTTACAAGATTCTATATGATTTATTTGATATTTTACATTCTACATCGTTTTTGATCCCCTGGGCACCTTCTTGCTATTTACTGATCATTTGCTCTATATCCGAGCAATGTTTAGGTAGACAGGAAGTTGGTGAAACAGACAGTGATGACATCTGTGTATGGTGTCACTTATATTGGGGCTAGAGAGCAGATAAAGAGAAGATTAAAGGAACGTGATGCCATTGCAGATGATACAGAGCTCTTTAGTGCGGCTTGTTATGCAGCAAAAGTAACTCTCAACTTTAGCCCAATTACGTTTTCAGTGAATGAAAAGTATTGATATACATTTCTGAAAATAAAATCATTATGGAATACTCAGTGTTGAAGTTTTTCTCACAATCCCCATGTAACTTCTTGCTTGGCCAATTCTTAGTGATTGAAATAGTTGCGATTTTCTGGTGCAGCCCCTACCAAACGCCATGACAATTATAAGTTATTTTGCATTAACATTTACTAGGATTTAGTTTACATTCATTTCCCCAAGTCTAAATTGTCCTGCAAAACACATCTCTCGTGCACATTTGTTTGTGTGTGTGTGTGTGTATGGGCTGGTAGCCTGGTCCTCACGTTACTAGATCAACTTAAGGTGGTTAATATGATGACGATGGTGAATATATACCCCTTCTCAATGAAATAATGTGCTATCAGGGTCGTTTTCTTGGGCCTGATGACAATTATAAGTAATTTTGCATTAACATTTACTAGGATTTAGTTTACATTCATTTCCCTAAGTCTAAATTGTCCTGCAAAATACCTCTCATGCACACTTGTTTGTGTGTGTTTATGCCCGTAGCCTGGTTCTCACGTTACTAGATCAACTTAATGTGGTTAATATGATGACAATGGTGAATATATACCCCTTGAAATAATGTGCTATCAGGGTCGTTTTCTTGGGCCTGATTGTTCAATACTCATATCTGCTCCTGCATTATTTAGTTTGGTTTTTATACTTGATGATGACATCTAATGTTTGCTTATTGGTACTTGATAGACTACCTTAAATGCACTCGGGCAGATGTTTGAATCTGCACGCAGCATCATGAGCTGGCTTGGAGACTGTGCTAAGGTGTGTACTGGTAGTTTCCACAAGTATGCAACATGCTTTACCTTGAGATGGTATTTTGGCAAAATTATTTGCTAGAGATCTGATGAATATTCATATTATTGGGGACTTATACATCGTGGCTCTATTGGAATCTGAGGCGTGTAATATTAAAAATTACAGTGGAACTGCTTGGCAAATTTCACTAGATAATTGAAGTAGTAGTTGGTTTTTAGATTTTCCTCAAAACAAGACCGTGTGGGATGTGTTTGAATCTTTGTATGTTTCAAATTACAATTCAGTGGCCTTGCAACTAGTTGGATATTACATAATCATTGAGTGTGAACCTGGGACAGATTATTGCATCTGAAAACCAGCCAGTTCAATGGACAACTCCCCTTGGACTCCCAGTTGTCCAACCTTACCGGAAAGTAGGAAGGCATCTGGTAAGTGTAATTGAAATCAAGAAAATGTCATTTAATCCTTTTTATCGTTTCCATAGATTCAAAGCCAATAATATTTGCATGGTCTTCATCTGATGTGCAGGTTAAGACTTCTCTTCAGATTTTGACACTGCAGCGTGACACAGAAAAGGTGGCTTGATAACCTTTCATTAGTTTGGGTTTATTTTATTTATGAACCGGTGAATTTAGCTACTATGTTGTTTATCAAGATCATATATTAACGCCTCGAAGGAAATCCTTTGTCTTGCATGAGTACAATGTATTAGGTTTTACACGTACAGAAATCAAGCCGATGAGAATACAAATTTGCTTTACATTTTAGGGCACTTTAACCATCCAGCTTCAGCTTAAAATTAACCTTGGTAACATTTGAGCCAAGTAATTTCTAAAAAAGCTCAAACATGTGTGACAAATACTTAAAAGTAACTATTAAGCTTAGCCAAACATGATTTCTTATATTATAGTACTAGTCGCTGAGCATAAAATTGTTCTGCATCAAAGGCTGATTGTCTCTCTTGTTGTTTTGACATTTCTACACAAGTTTCTGAATCCAGATAAAAATGTACTATTCTTTATTTAATTTCAGATAATGGTCAGGAGGCAGAGGACAGCTTTTCCACCAAATTTTGTTCATTCCCTCGATGGTTCACATATGATGATGACTGCAGTTGCATGCAAAAGGGCAGGCTTGAATTTTGCAGGTTTGTCTCACATTCTATTTGTTGATATCCTCCAATTCTGATCTTTGACCGCCAACTACCTTACATTCTACATTTGATGACAGGTGTTCATGATTCATATTGGACACATGCATGTGATGTGGATAAAATGAACAGAATATTGAGAGAGAAGTTCGTTGAACTATACGAAGCACCCATTCTAGAGAATGTAAAGTGTCTAGACATCCTCCACTTTTGAATTACTTTCTTTTTAACTGGAAGAGATCTATTAGTAATCAATATTGGGAAGCATTATATCTAACCAATCAACTCTAAATGGTAATTGTATCCATAAGAAGGGAATCCAAATCTGGGCTGTTTGAGCATGTTTGGCTTTCCTTCAAAAGAGAGAGAGTTAAAAAGTCAAATGTTGGCTTCTTTTGTAGCATTTAAGCAAAGCCACAGATGCTCTTTAATCTACTTAGTAAATTACCATCCAAACATACCAAAACTTAATTAATATCAAAATAAGCCCAAAGTTCAAACCTTACGAAATTCTTGCAAATAAGATGGTCAAATTTATGTATCCCCTCTCGTCTATCTCCATAAACTTTGTGACCAAAAGCTTATGTACCTCATAATTTGCAGGGTAAATGTTCCAAGCAACAATATAATGATAAAATGATAAATAGCATTTACTAGTTCCTAATTTCCAGTGTAGATGTAAAAAGTAAAATTTTACCATCCAGATTTAGAAGTTTTATTAGACATCTAATCTTCTGTCTTCCATATGAACAGTTGTTGGAGAGTTTTGAACAGTCCTTTCCTTCGTTGTCTTTCCCTCCCTTGCCAGAAAGAGGGGACTTCAACCTGAGAGATGTTTTGGAGTCGCCTTATTTCTTCAACTAAATGAACTCGAGGTGTTTGTTGGCGTAGATGATATATTTAAACATGCATTTGCCTCCAGTGAATGAAATGGCAACAAATGGGCTTCATCCTCGGTGATAAAGGTTGTATGTAATCTTCCTGTTCGTTCTTCATCTTTAAACCCCGGAGTTTCTTGTACAGTCATCGAAGGGGTTCTACATCAAAGGCAATGGGGAATCTTCTCTCATACCTCAAACTATGAGGTAGACAATATGAGGTCTATTTTGTTTGGAGGAAGCTCGGGGATACATGATACTTTTTTCTGTCGAGATTTCGAGCTTTGCTATTAAGTGGATGGATATTATTTAGCTGAACACAAGCTGCAGTGCAATGCCTGCCAGAATCTTCTTGTTCAGGGGATCAACATTTGTATATTCTTTTTACATTTCCTAACAAAAGTCGAAATAGAAAATCGTAGAAGGAAAAGTTCAAAATATATTATTTGTTGCTTGAGGTGATGTATTAAACTGTTTTCATATAATCCATGGGTCAAGGGTCAAGATTTGTAAATTTTACTCTGCATCTCCACTTGCAGATGGAGTTCGGATTTTTGAAGAAATCATGAAAGGGAATTGAATTGCAAAACGAATGTGGAACCATTGTGCACTTGATAATATATTAAAATAAGAGTAATGGTATTCATCACCATTGATATTAAACTGTATGACATTAAATGTTAGGTTCACTTAAATGCAACATAATATGATTCATTTAATTGAATATATCAAGTATGATAATTTAAACTGATTTCTAGTCTCAGTAATGTTAGATAGCATTATTTTTAAAATGAATATACATTTAAATTGTTACCCTATTTAATAGCTTAACACTTTAGATCAAATGGTTTTGTAGACACCCTTTAAATGTATTGTGTTTTAGGCTTTAATGGTAAATTTCCCTAGAGGGAGTGGAATTCTATTTAACAGGTGAAGCTTTTTGAAATCAAGCGATTTAAAATTGAAAGTATTTCTTAAATGGTAATATACTTATTTTATGTGACCTGTAAGTTGTAACTACACCGATTATAGAGTTGACCAGTTATTGAACCCAACTAGACCTCAAAATACAAGGTCAGCCTAGACGGTGCTCTTGCACATCATTTCCAAGCATTCTCTAAGCAGAGATTGCAAACCAAGGCAATCAAAAAGGCAAAAGAAAGGCCGCAGGTAAATAGGTACACATTCTAGTATATGCTTTTATTTGTCAAACTAATCGCCATTCAGTTATTTGAACAAGTGAAGGTGATTCATATTTACTAAACAAATGGAACAGCGAACTGAGAACAATTCCTTGTACATGTGTCGTACTATATAGGATTTGAGTAATAAAATGGTAGAACTCTCGGTCTGATTAGCCTTTTTTCACTTGTTGCCTGAGTATATGCATATGATCAAGCACCTGATATCAGTAACCAAACTGATCATTCAATGAGGTACGTCCATCACCTGATTGGCCTGGAAAAGAAAGTGGAACAAAACTCAGAATACATAGTCTAAACACTAGTGTCCATCAATTAAGCACTCATCAGTGAAGTCAAAGGTGATTTTTACCTTCAGGGGGCATCCAAGAATCATAGTCAGGTTCATCATTGAGAAATGATGGTTTTTCGGGACCCACCACTCTTTTAGACTTTTTCTGATCCTTCCCAACTCGACTCTCAAGTGGCACATCTTCATTGATGGTTCTTGAATATTTCAATAATAGAGCCACAGATTCTTCTGCTATAATCTCAGCCCTAAAGGGTTTATCAGAATCTTCAACTTCACTAACCTTGGACTTCTCGTCTTGCTTTCTCTTCCTTATTATTAGACCAGGGGCCGCATCTTCAATTCCTGAGTTAACCTGAGCAGAATCTGGATTTTGCAGAATATTCTTTCTATCTTTGTAGTCAACAAACTGATCTTTATCCTGCATGTCTACTGTGACTTCTTGTGCAATTTCTTGCTTTTTAATTTTTATGTCATCTACAGCACCAAGCCATTGGGGTTTAGCAATAGTATATATAGCAGTACCATTGTCGGTTGGATCCGTATTAACAGTAGTTTTTGTTTCATTAGTTACCAACTTCGATTCTCCAGGCTTCTTGCCAGATTCTGGCGCTTCATCGCAAATACCCATTTTTGGACTGGATCTATCCGATGAACCTTCTGCTCCCAAACTATTATTCTTTTTGGATAAGGGGTGTTTGCGTGAATCTGAAGCAGCTGAAGCAGGGCTTTTGCTCACAATAGGTTTTGGCTCCTTTGCTTTGGATTCCCTTTTCCTAGCAGCTTCTCCTGAGGGATCGGCAATCTTCAGCAAGTAGAGAATCCTATCCAACTCCGACTGGAGAACTGATAACTCCTTGCTAATCTTTTCTTTATTATCAAGAACTGAAATCAAAAGAGAGAACCAAACTAACTTGTCAAGAAAATGTTTCATGGCTTGTTAGTTGTCAAGAAAACGCTTCATGGCATGTTATTTACCACAAAAAATTATGGGTCATAGAAGAGAGGGAGTCAAACCACCACACAACTCCCTCTGAAAATCAGAATATTCTGTTTTTTGAGCCAGTTCAAATTCCAGACAAGAATGATGAAACTTCTTTTTAGGTTATTAATAATATGATAAACTTTTTAGGGGAAATTTCATGGGAACTTTTTTGATGTAGGACAATTTTTATTTCTTGTTTAGATTAGAACTTTTTATTTTTTAGTTTTTTTATTACGTAACCTTTTAGGCTTTAATTACTCGTCTTCCTTGAGCTATTACGATTAGGAGATCATTTTGTCTATATAAACAACGGCTTTGTACCAAATCATTACAATAAAATTATTCTCTACAAATTTTCGAGTTGGTTCAACTTTACTCATGTTTCAAGAACCAATTCCACTTCCGCACCACTTTTTCCTCTACTGTCCTTCACAGAATAAATGGCGCCTAGCCTTTCAAAAAAGAAGAGGAACCGTTACTTAATCATCACATGAGGGCGATAGCATGAATATGGAATTCCTGTTGAGTGATAAGAGGTGCCAACTTTCCTGGGATGTTCATGCATCAGTGCACCGAATTGATGAGGTCAGTTTTTCAGAATACAACTTAACATTGAAAAATAGATCTCTTTTCATGAATTACAGGTTTGAATGTCTTGGGACAAGGACAAAAAAAGATTCACCCTACGAAAAGGATTCATACCTAGCTGAGATGAAACTGCAGTCATGTATGCATCAAGTGCATCTCCAGCTTCAGCGACTTCATTTGTCTGTGCCATGTTGTCCTCAACCCAAAGCAATTTTTCCTTATCTTCCATTTCCTTAACAATGGCATACTTCTTATCAAGAAGAGAATCAGCAGTTTCTATTGATTGATTTTCACTACTTTTATGCTTGGAGGGTTTCTGTGTCCGATCATAGAACTCATCATCATCACTGTTACGTTGAAAACAAGTAGGAAGTGTATGCATCAATTCCACAGATAATAAGGCTGATATATCAACTTCGAGTTAACCATACACCATTCAGATGCATAATTGAACAGACAAAAAACTGTTTTCATGCAATTTATGCTATTTGCATCAACTGTAACAAAAGGGCGATGTTTGATAATACTCATTCTTCTACTTGAACAATAATTATCTTTATGACTAGCTTAACTCAAACATTATCTCTTTAAAAGTACCTCATATATTCGCCATCGTCGTCTTCCATTGCTCCCTTTTTCTTACTATGTTTTGTCCTTCCACCTCTTGCACCTATACTTTCCCGTATACTTTCATTTAAAGTCTCTTCCAAATTTTCAAGCTCTTCCACGATCTAAGAAAAATTGAGCACTTGAATCACCAAAAAGAAATGAGAACTCGCTTAAAAAATATAATTCAAAACCTTCATGGTTAAGCCAAATTTGCAGGCTATTATGAGCAGAAAGGACAGAGAAAACGCGTTTCTTCACTAAAGAAAAAACAAAAATATTTTTTTGTGAAGTGTAGAAAATGGGCAACTTATGTTTCAATATAGTGCATGAAGTAGGTAAAAGAGGACAGAAGAGGCAAAGCTGAGGAACTTCTCGTTCTATGCCTTTTCTATTGACATTATACCTGCGATATCCTCGGTTCATTTCGAGCAATCTGAGTTTGTTGTCCCTGTGTCAACCCACCTTGAGCAATGTCCTTGGCCCGAATAGCATCAATCTCTTTCTTCATATGGGCAATCTACACACAGAAGAGTACAGCCATTAGCAACTAGCATAAACACATATATTGTAACCAATTCCTTCACCAGAAAATGAAGAGCTGCTAAAGCATTGAATCATTTCAACCAAATAAAAGAATTTCAAGCCCCTCAAGAGCTTCAGCTGCACATTGCCAATTTTAAAGGTATAGGCAGCTTAACATTGTAAGTATAGAAACGCCCACGAACGCAGTCATAGGTAGAGCACGGATGGAATATAAGAAATTTCTGAAGTTCATTTAGTGTGGTTTTGTATATTCAGAACATGTTCGTATGTGGCAGAATACTAAGAAATCAGAATAATTACACGAGACACGGTTCAAATACTTTATTAAGCAAGATTATACAACACAAATAAAAAGCAAAAAAATGACATCCGGGTCATTCAGATGCCGCTAGCTCATTCTGAGTATGTATATAATCTCTACTCGTCCTATAGTATGATTTATAAGTGATAAAACATGATAACTTGAAATTTTCTGTTGAAGAGGTCCAATGATGCATCAATTGGTACTCAATCATAGTTTAAAATGAATGAAATCTTTCGTTGTTTGGGATGTTTCCAAATAATGTCAGTCACCGAACCCTGTAAACTTTTCACCCTGTCATTTTACAACATCTCAACCATCAATACAGAGAAGGTATTTTTTGTTAGAAAAGGGAATAGTAATTTTTGGTGGCAAATATGTTTTGCAAGGTATTGTCCGCATGATGGCAGTTCATAGGCTGGGAACCACTTGAAGTATTTGAGTATCCTTGCTTTAGGATTCTGCCGCTATAACAATGCAGGTGGATTGGGAATTCTAATTTGTTGGCAATGGCAGGGGTATGGTGGTAGGTGTTGGTCTGAGATGTGAACTTGCAATTTGATGAGAGAAGGGATAACACGGACAGAGAAGTGATAAACACAATCGCGTGGAGTAAGCAGGAAGCAGCAAAAGAAGAAAATTGACAAGTGAAGTCTCGCCAAGATGATGTGTCAATTCATATGATCAATTCATTTTAAAATACACAAAATAAATGTGAAGGGCTCTTATTCCTGTAATGTTCCACAACTGTTCTGTCATCTATGATGATAAAAAATGTCCATTGCTTTCCACAAAATTTAGATGCCCATAACCATATTTCCCAATTCCCAACTTTGGTGAAAGTTAAATAAAGAGGCACGGACTCCTGGACAAAGTTATTTGTCTTCAATTTTTCAATCATATGAGCCTCTTAAAACTATGTGCAGACATGCTGAATCAGTTGTCTGCAGAAATCAGTCTATGTGACGATATGACCACGACCATGGCCCACTGGGTTCTACCCAAGCTGCTACATGGTCCATGCGGGATTCGGTCTGTACCTTTAGCATGCGTTCGCAGGAGACGCAAAAGAGATTCGTGTTGGGGCCCAACCCCCAGTGGTATGCCAATCAATAGGACTGAATCCTGCATGGACAAGGCCAAATCCGGTGGAAGCATAGCAATGAACAGAGATAATAAGGACATTTTTCCATTTAAGGAATAAGCTGATAAAAATCATCAGGCCAGCTGCCAGCAAAGAGTTTTATTTTCTAGCAAGAGGATCCCCAATAATAACTCCATAAAAATGTGGGAACTTTGGAAGCATATACTCGTGCATCAAAAAGGAGAGAAACGGGGAATGAACAGAATTATATGGAAGTGTAAGTCTGAAACATATTTAACAGGATAAGGTAAAACAACATGAAACGTGTCGCGTTCATAAAAATTCATTACAAGAATAAACTTTCACTAACCTTCTCAAGTCTTTTTATAACTTTTTCCCGTGTTTTCACCTGCTTCTCTGTTAGTTCCCCCTTGTAAGTTTGCCAAGTTATTTCATCAACTTCATCCTATATGTTCAAGACATCATTGTCAGAAGAAATGTAACAAAAGCATATCGCAAAAACTAAAAATATTATCCAACCCAATAAACCAAAAGGTTGAACCAGTTCCATTAGCTTACCAACCATGGAACGCAAAAGGTGATTACATGAGTTATTCCAAAACAGAAAACCTAGATTCTCTCCACCGGAAAAGGAGAAAAGCCCATTATTTCAAGCACCGTACACATAAATAATTGGAAAGTAAAAAATAGTAAGAGTAACGTCAAGGAAAACCCTTCCCAGATGACTAAATAGGTCCATTCAAAGTGATAATGCAGGTGTGTTCTTCAAATAATCAAGCACGTGATATGCGAACTTGTCTCCTTCAAAATCAATTAATACTGTTTTCACCACATTCAAAAGCTACCCCATTTATATCCCATGAATACACAAAAAGGAATTAGATCATATATCTCATTATTCAGCAGCACATCTTGCTGGGAAAGTTCTTTTTTAATTTTTCCCTGGATCTTCCAACTCTTCAACCTACTATAAAGTCAAATCTAAAAGCAAGACTAACAGAATAGGACAAAGTACAAACAGCACTACCCTAAAGTTAACCATTATCAGAAATGTTATGTCTCCACTACAGAAAAGCACCAGAGCTACTTTGGAGGAGCAAGAAAATAACACAAACCTCATTTTCCTCAATAGCATCCTCACGCATTCCCCATGAAACTCCATCTGCAAGAGAAGCCTCCACCTTGGCTCGAAGAAGTGATGCCTCCATATCCTTCATGTCTTGTTGGATTTTAGCATTTCTTATCCTCTTCAAGTCAGCTTCCTTAAAAAAAAAAACCATAAGATTAATTCTCAGAATTCAGAGACATCAATAATGCATTAGAGCACCAATTAATAATGTTCTTATCTACCTGTACATGTAAAACAAAAAATATAGAGTGTTTTTACAAATTCAAAATGGTTTCGTTAAATCCAGGAATAATAAAATTGTCCATTGAAACTTAGAAAAGCACAGGCAGCAATAATTCAGCTTTCAGTAAAAGCCAGGAGAGAGAGATGGGGAAGGAATTTGAGACTGGAGATATAATGACAACAGAGTCTAACCGGTGGCATCAAGTCAGAAGGTCCTTGGAATATGTACAACCGAGATGATCTGTACCAATACAGACCAAAAGTAGTAGTAATAATAATAATAATAATAATAAGAGAAAAGTTATTCTCTCTGAAGTAACTTTCCCAAGTAAAATTTACCCTGCTAATTTCAGATGATATGAGAATCCATTTTCATTATATTCAATTGATCTTAGAAAAGGTTGACTCAGATATTAATACAGAGCAATTCATGTATAACAAAATTTACAAATAAAGTATGATCAAAACCAACACAATACATTACAAATTAATGTGGTTACTCACTGGCCAAACCGGATCACATCACCAACATGCAAATCAACGTAAACCCTCTTCTTCACCTAAGAATTCAGAACCAGCAATGAGTAGAAGTAAATTTAGTAAATGTCTGGTGAGTGTATGAAGTATAGTAAAGCATGAGTAATATAAGAAAAGACGGCCTATAGGTTTCCTCTGCTCCGTAGAGTAAATATTCAGAAAAGAAAAATAAGATCAACAGACAGAGAGATATACACCATAAGACACTTAGGTTGAGTCAACAAAAGATGTTTGCTCTGGTGTTCAGAATAAGACTGGCACTAGGCATTTTTGGTCCATTTAGGGCCCTAATTACCACAACTTCTCATAAGGAGCCACTCTAAAGTGGCATTCACTAGTCAAATTTCCTCAAGTAAGAACGTAACTCCTCTCAGCTTAGAATTCATTTATTCAAATATCTTCGATGTCATAAGGAAAATGTCATGTCGAATACTTAACATATGAGAGTATACATAAGATAGAGAGAGTAAACTAATTTAGAACTGAAGATTCACCAACACATTGCACCACATATATGAATGGAAAAATCTTTCGGATAATGGAGATTGCACTTATGGTACTTAAAAATGTAAAATAATACCTGATTCTTGTTTATAAACGTCCCGTGTGTACTACCAAGATCATAGAGATATGCTTCTCCATTGCTCTTGAACTGTACAACTGGCAACTTGCAACAGAATCCAAAAGAAAGTGTAAGTCATTCTAGGGGAAAATATAGTCAATAAAATCGAGCTATGCAAAGAACTAGGATATATGCAAGGCAAAGAAATATTGACAATTGTCTTACCTCTGGATACTTCTATTGATATGTGTATTACTACGTATCAATAGAATAAGAATAAAAAATGGTGGAATATAAACTAAAAGGGAACACAATCATCGATATTTATCCTAAAAAGAAAAAAATAATAATAATAATTGTATGTGTTTTTCTTTAACGAACACACCCTTTTAAAAGGGGAATTACCCATGTGATGAAGTGATATTAAAAGAACTCATTTTTAAACAGAGGTGATTAGCATCCAAGAATACACATAAGACATGTTATTGATATGAGGTCAATCTTGATTCCAAAAAACAAGCAATTGAATAGCTTTTTCATATTGCTGACGAAAAAGCAAAAGTAAATAGCATAGAGTTCCAAAGCCGAAGTCAGAAACTTGTACCTGCATGAAACCGAGAAATGGTGGGATGCTCGAGCGTAAAGTCACAGATATCTACCCGGCCGAACATGTAGGCTCCCTTCTTATTCCTGGAAAATTAACAAGCCAGCATAGAACATTCAAATAAAATACTGATGACGGTAACTGAACAGACCCGAGAAATAGGTAAAACAGCAAAGTTGGTGGATTTCAAAAGCAAAGCTATAAATTTTCAGAGAAAGAGAAAGGCGAACAGTAAAATCGAGATTTGAAGAAAAAACTACTAACACGTGGAATTGTTCAATGGTGGAACCATCCTTCAGGACTTCAATGAAGAAGTTATGACATGGAGCGCCGCTCCACTCCGGAATAGTGTAAGGCACGGCCGTATTATTATGGCACTGCCCTAGTTTTTTCTCGAATGCGCTGTTTTCTGAATCCCCAGAGAAAACCGCATTTTCAGCAGACTGTACAGAATCGGTTTGAGTAGAAATTGGTTGAGGTTCTTGCTGAGATTGTAATGAATCGGGCTCTGGTTCGGTTCCGGACTTCGGATGGTTAGGGATTCTTGGAGGTGGGGGACCCATTCCAGTAACCACAGTTGACATTTCAGAAGTTGAGGGCAAGGGTTCGGCGGTGGGTTTTCTGGGCGGAGGAGGACCCATGGCGGTGTCCATATTGTCGTGTGCTGGAGCCTGGAGGAGAGGGCGGAATGGTCGGGAAGCGGCTTGGGAGTTCAGCAATGTCGGCCTTATCCCTATGGAATCGAGCCGGCGCGAGCTATGAGCTATCAGGCTTGCCTTCGACTTCGAATAATCCATCAGCCGAATTTAAGCCTTATATGTTGTAGTGAACCGACTTCAAACTTAAAGAGAGCCGTTGCCCGTTTGAGAATTCTTGGAGACTGGAGCCATCTGGGAACTTTTGAATTTGATTTGATTTTTTAATTATTTTATATCAGGAAATTTAGCCCCGTTTTGTGGCCATTTTTTAAAAAAAATATTATTTTGGAGTAGTGAATTTTTGAAAATATATTGTTAAAAAGTAGGAAAAATTTCAAGTATAAGTGTAAAATATTTTATTATGTGAAGGTGTGGTTGAAAATAAACATGTAGAAAAAATAATTTTGAAAAAATTAGAGACAATCGTGGGCTCAATAGGTAATTGTTGTGAATTTATTAGATATATTGATTTTTTGAGAAGCAATATAATAAAAACTAAAAGAGAGATGCTTAGTGTACAATCATGGATGATAATTTTATTTACAAAATGCCACGAAGCATTTTGTAATTTTATAGTTTTAACAAAAAATATTTTTGGAGTCAATATATATATATTTTTTTTTTTTTATTATTATTATTTTTTGGTAATTATAATAATTTTTAAATACAATGTTTAAAAAATTTATCACTCAATTTCCATGCTAAACAAAGCCAAATGAATGGTATTCGATATGATAATTTTTTTAATTTTTTAATTTTTTTTGGCAATTAGAACAAATTTTA